AGTGCTGTGGCATCCCAGCTCACAGCAACCTCCAACTCCTGGGCTCAAGCGAGTCTCCTGCCTCAGCCTCCCAAGTAGCTGGGACCACAGGCGCCCTCCAAAACGCCCGGCTATTTTTTTGGTTGTAGCTGTCATTGTTGTTTGGCGGGCCCGGGCTGGATTCGAACCTGCCACCTTAGGTGTATATGGCTGGCGCCTTAGCTGCTTGAGCCACAGGCGCCGAGCCTCAAGTTTCTTTTAGTTGACTAGCCACAGGGTCCTAAAAGCTAGGCTGATTGGAAATAAAACAGAAAAGAGAGAACAAAAGCTAAGGTATAAGTGGGTATAAGTTGAGCTCCCCAGGATTGGGTTTTAAAAATTGCTCTTCATGATTGCTTTTTTCCCTATCCAGAGAACGTGGGTGGGGGTGATGGTGATGCTGAGGAACTTTGGCTTTGGACAGTATTTGTTTACGGGTGTTTATTTAAAACAATCACAGTGTGAAAGCTCTCAGAATAGTACATATTTTCTATCTTTTATGGAGGCAAAGACTTCTAAGAGGCCCCTCGTTGCTCTGAGGTGTGACTTCAGTTAGTTTTCTCTTGACTATTTTAGTTTTATATTAGGGTTATGTGTTTAGTACTTGATCAAGTAAAAATCCAGAAAAACAAAATCAAACCAAAAAATCTACTGACACATGCTGATGGTTTAAAAAGGAGGCCCAAACTCAGAAGGGTGAAAAATGAAGAACCCCTTTCACTTCTCACGCCCTCCCCCCGTCCCCCACCGCCGCCCCCATAAACTGGCTAACAGTCTGGTGCTTCATTCCAGACATTTTCTGGGCATATGTGCTTGTCTGTACATCTTTGTTGTTTGTTTATTTTTAAAAGTTGCGGTGCAATCCACATAACGTAAAATCTGCCGTGTTGCAGTGAACAATTCAACGGCATTTAGTGCCAGCTCCGTGTTGTGCAGCCCTCACTGCCATCTTTTCCAGAACATTTCCATCACCCGCCGTGGAACCCCCCACCCGTTAGCAGTCCCTCCCCAACCCCTCTCCCCCTATTTCTCCAGCCTCTGGCAACCGCTAATCTACTTTCTGTCTCCATGGACTTGCCTATTCCGGAAATGTCATGTAAATGGAATCATGCAATATCGGCCTTTCGGATCTGGCTCCTTTCCCTGAGCACGATGTTCTGGAGGTTCATCCTTTATTTGCTTTTATATACAATGAGATCATGCCACGCACACTTTGCTGTTTTCACATAACGGTAGTTCTTACAAATCTTTCCATATTAGTACTTGCCAGGCACCCTCATTTTAAAAAGCCATCCTTAATATCTGTCAGTTGTATATACATAATTTATTTCACTGGTCTCCTGTGGGTGGTTACTTCTGATTTTTAGCTGTTACCCTAAACAAGTCTGCAGTGAACCTCCGTAGGCAGGTTTAAAAAATATTTTTTGCTTTGTGTAAATATATGTAGAGTCAATTCCCAGAAGTGAAATGCCTTGGCCCAAGGTATTATATTTAAATTTTTGCCAGAGTCTACCAAGTTGCTCTCCCAGAAGGTGGCAGCAATTTATGCTCCCAGAAACAAGTGTGTGTCTGTGAACTTTTCCGGTTTTTCTAGACACTGACCCACATTGGGAATTATCAGGCCTTTTAATCATAGAAAGTATGAAAAATAGAAATGGTATTTTCATTCTGTGTGTTGATATTTAGAAATTGTATATGAGGCTTACTGTCTTTATAAGTAATCCATGTTTCTTTTTTTTCCCTGGGAAATAAGTGTTCACTTTCTCTAGTAATTTTCTATTAGGTATTTTTAATTATCTCATTGATTTCTAAGAATATTTCTGAGAATATTTAGCTACATTCCAGATCATATGAAAATCTTTCTTCTTCGGGTTGTCTTGTGACTTCACTTAAGATACTGTTGTTTTTTTTTTTTCATGCAGAAAGTTTTAATTTTTATGGAGTGTAACTAAGCCAGCTTGTATTTGATGTGTTTGAGTTTTGAGTCATACATTGGAATCCTTCTGCTTTTTTAATTTTTTAGAATTATTCTTTCTTGGGGGGAGGTTTCTTCTGATTTTGTTTTTTGAGGTTAAATCTTTGGTTCACATAGAATTTAGATCCAATTTTATTTATTCTCCTCAGAAAAATGAGCTGTCCTCAAATTATTGTATAATCTATTTCTTATTAATGATTTAAAAAATAGCTTTTCTTTCTTTGGTATTAAAATCCTATGTTAGATTGGTGTTATTTCTGAAATATTCAGATTTTATCTCACTTTTAATCACCATAGCTTTATGGTTTTAATATTTGATAGCATTAAGTCTTTACCTATTATCTCCAAATTTTTACTGGCTAGTCTTTTATTTTTCTGCATGAACCTTAGCTAATGAAAGACATAAATTTTGCTAGGAATGTACCTTTAGTTGCAACTTTAGATTGTGTTAGGTGTTACATAGTATTTTTAGTATTGTTCTTTTCCAAATAGTCTACACTCTCAATTTTTATTTTTTCTGTGATTTAAGAGTTTGAGAAGAAATATTAATACTTCTAGGAAGTTTCATAGTTTCATTGCATTTTGTGTAGAGAATGTGATTCTGGTTTTGGGAAATTTGATTTTTTTTTTAATGGCTTAAAATATGGTTATATGTTATGTGCAGTGGGATCTTAGGTGTTAGTATCAGTTTAGAGCAACCTCACTGGTTATATAATTTAGTTACTTTGTATCCTTGCGTATATTCTTTGTCTTCTTTATTTGCCCCCTTGTTTCAGTCTGTTTCTCTGATCTTCAGGTTCTGTGTTGTGTTTTTGGACACTGAGATGATTACTACATGTATTCATGATACACCCTTACTGAGAGTTTGTCCTTTAATAATTTAAAGTATCCCCTTTGCTTTTTCCCTCAAATTAAATCTTGTATGACATTAATACTATGGCTTGTTATTATTTGTGGCTTTTGTCAGGTCAGTCTTTGTGTTTTTTTTTTTTCTTTAAGACAGAGCCTCACTATGTTGCCCTTGGTAGGGTGCTGTAGCATTATAGCTCACAGCAACCTCAAATTCTTGGGCTTAAGTGATTCTCTTGCCTCAGCCTCCCAAGTAGCTAGGACTACAGGCACCCACTGCAAGATCCGGCTATTTTTTGTTGTTGTTGTTGTTGATGATGTTGTAGTTGTCATTGTTGTTTAGCAGGCTGACTGGGTTCAAACCCGCCAGCCTTGGTGTATGTGGCTGGTGCCCTAACCACAGAGCTACAGGCGCCAAGCCTAGTGTTTGTCTTTTTTTTTTTTTTTTGAGACGGAGCCTCAAGCTATCCCCCTGGGTAGAGTGCCATGGCATCACACTCACAGCAACCTCCAACTCCTGGGCTCAAGCGAGTCTCCTGCCTCAGCCTCCCAAGCAGCTGGGACTACAGGCACCCGCCACAACGCCTGGCCATTTTTGGCTGCAGCCATCATTGTTGTTTGGCGGGCCCGGGCTGGGGATTCGAACCCACCACCTTAGGTGTATGTGGCTGGCGCCTTAGCCGCTTGAGCCACAGGCGCCGAGCCCTAGTGTTTGTCTTTTAAAAATTTTCTATCTTCTAGTTGTTTGGATTCAGACAGATTTTATTTCTAAAGATATTTTTATTTAAAAAATTATTTTTAGCTGGGTGTTGTGGTGGGTGCCTGTAGTCCCAGCTACTTGGAAGGCTGAGGCAGGAGAATCACTTGAGCCCTAGAGTTTGAGGCTGCTGTGAGCTGTGATGTCACAGCACTCTACTGAGGGTGACATAGTGAGACTTTGTCTCACCAAAAAAAAAAAAAGAATCTCCAACTGCATGCAAGAACAATATGGAGAGACTTTGACAGCTTAGGTCAGTACAGTACCTGTAGCTGTCACTCACCTTTCCTATAATGTTTAAAAAAAAAAGAAATGATTTTTTATTTTAATAGATTTGGGATTACAAGTTGAATTCTGTTATATCAATGTATTGTGTAGTGATGGAGTCTGGGCTTTTGGTATATCCATCACCAAGTAGTGTTCAAGGTACCTCAGAGGTAACTTTTCATCCCTCACCCTCTCACCCTTCCTCCTTTTTAGTCTACAATGTCATTATACCACTGTGTGTCCGTGTGTAGCCATTGTTTAGCTTCCACTTATAAGAGAGAACATGTGGCATTTATTTTTCTGTTCCTGGGTGACTTCACTTAGGATAATGGGCTCCAGTTTCATCCAAGTTGCTGCAAATGTCACTATTTCATTCTTTCTTGTGGCTGAGTAGTGCCATGGTGTGGAGGCATATATATAGATATATGCCATAATTTATGTTCTTTTTTTTCTTTGAATTTCAGGTTAATATGAGGACACATATGATTAGGTTACACTGGTTTGCATTTGTAAGGTTGTGTCCTTCACCCAAAGGTGTGCCATATACCTGGGACTTACCCAATCTCTCCCCTCCTTGTTGAATTTGAGTTTTTTTCTCATTTGGGCCTAGGGTTGTCAATCTACTAGTTTCAACTTAGTATTGAGTAGCTGGGATGCTTCCTTATTCATTCCTATGATAATGTTACTTAGAAGAATGGTCTCCAAATCCTTCCAGGTTATTACAAAAGATACAAAATCCTCGTCTTTTTTTATGGCTGAATGGGATGCTGCTGGAGGGAGAGGAGTGGCTGCCTTCTCCCTGGGATCTGCGGACCTGTCTTTTCACTGCCACCTTTAATTTATTTCACTTGTGGGTGGTTTAGAGTTGAGGCTTTCTTAGGTCTTCTTGAAAATGGAGTGTTTTGGCTCGGTGCCTGTGGCTCAAGCGGCTAAGGCGCCAGCCACATACACCTAAGGTGGCGGGTTCGAATCCCCAGCCCATCCCGCCAAACAACAATGACGGCTGCAACCAAAAAATGGCCCGGCGTGGTGGGCACCTGTAGTCCCCCCTACTTGGGAGGCTGAGGCAGGAGACTCGCTTGAGCCCAGGAGTTGGAGGTTGCTGTGAGCGTGATGCCATGGCACTCTACCCAGGGGGATAGCTTGAGGCTCTGTCTCAAAAAAAAAAAAAAAAGAAAATGGAGTGTTTCTGTGAGCGGCAGAGGGAAGCATGTTCACTCTGCCATCTCTCATTGGAATCACTCGATGGTGTCAGATGTCTTTGGAGCACAAATTGATTCTGGTGCTGATTCTTTTGTGTCTGTAAACATTTCTCATTATGTAGGTGTGACTTCTGTCCCTTGATGATGTGTTATATGGGTTCTGCAAGGTGGAACTCCTCTCGTCTGGTCACTTAGGTGTCCGTAGTCTGGGGTGTCCATGCTGCCCCTGCCTAGCCTTGGGGCTGCCGGCCTGGTGTGGTACTTTTTTCTTCTGTGGCAGCAGTGGCATTGCCCAAAGTGGGTTTCCCTGCTTATCCCTCCCTTGAGTTCCTTCCCAGAGGCAGGGCTCTGGGGTGGCAGGACAGGAAATGGATGCGTGAAGTTTTATGAAAACTTGTTTGCATTTTCTGACACCATGTGTCCTTAACACTTTTGATTATGGAGCTCCTTTATTTTTGAGGCTGTGTTAGGGAAATATGGGTGTGGAGGCTGATTGTCTCTGATCTGCAGAACACAAACTGCATAATTGCTCTCCCACGTGGGGACTCAGAGCCACAGAGTGCAGGCTCTATGTGACAGTGACAGCATGGTCCCTACATCTGCAGGGAAGGGCGGCAGTAGCACACATGGCTGGTTTTCTTGGTGGTCTTTCTGTTCAAGGATGATTGACATGCTGACGGCTTGTGGGTATTCAGTCTTTGGTATTTACTGAACTAGCGATGGAGACTAGGAGGGTCTGTGGTGCGACCCGCCTGCTAAGGAGTTTGTGGGATTGAAGCCTTCACCAAACACGGAGGTGTCCGCTTACTGTCGCAGGCCGTCTGCCTGGTTGCCCCTCTGGGAGTCAGAATCATTCCTCAGCACTCTATTCGTGGCAGGGTCTGCATTGCCATTTAGTCTTTGGGATAGTTCATGCAGTTATGACTCCTTTTTGCGGATTAGGAAACCAAGGCCAACTGAAGTAGTGTCCCTGGCCGGGTATTGGGCCCCTGGAATGGTGGATCTGGGTCCAGCAGCTGTAGTTTGGCTTTTGGAGGCTGTACTCTCCCATCAGGAGCCCTGGGCCAGTGGGGAAGCCAATGTCAGAGTGTGATGCCCCTTCCTTTCTGTGGGGGGCCACCGGGGCACAGTCTTGCACCGTGGGGCATGGTGTGTCAGTGATCGTACTGTGGCATTTTACAATAAAAGATTTTATGACATTTTCCAGGAGAAGGGGCCATGGAGGAGAAGGGGCCGTGGGGCAGCAGCAGCCTTGGTCAGGAGGCAGAGCAGGGGTGAGGGAAGGCTGGGGCCTTTGTGGAGTCTCCACGCGAAAGACACGAAAGACACGTGGGGAGGGAAAGCAGTCAGGATGGGCTGGTTTGACTCATTCTTTCCTTCAGTGCCTGGTGCCTGGCCCTGGGGTGATGGAGGGCAGAGGGCAGTGGCTGGGTGTGGGGAGTGTGTGCTGAGCTGGGTGGGGGTGGGCTCTGGGTTGGTGGGTTTGCATAAGAAAGGCAGCTCCCTTTGCTGTGTCTGAGATTTGCTAGGCACGGGAGGGGCAGTGTCTCCCCAGTGAGCGGGACTAGAAATAACTGAAGCACCAAGAACACAGAAAATGAGAAAATACAGTCAGTACAATCGCCCTGTAATGAATGGATCTGAACAGACAGTTATAGAATCTAAGAACTCATGGAGCCGGCAGAAACAGAGGGTCGTGGCTTAGCAGCTCTTGCACCCGGCGCCTCCCTCTGAGGTCCACTTTGGGGTTTGTGGGGAGACAGTGCTCCCTGCAGCTGGGTAGGTGGGGTGTATTTTCAGTGGGCAGGCTGCCAAGTAGCACTGCAAGTGTACGGCAGTTTGGGGATTTGGATGAGTGTTCAGAAGCCATTGAGGGCAGTGACCACCAAGTGACTCTAAGATCTTGGTTATCTGAGGGAGCTGTGGGTTACTGGCCTCTGACCGACTATGTCCAGGCCACAGTTTGGTTATTGATGAAAGATTTATGGTCCGAAAAAGACCACTTTGCTCTGTTGGGCTGAATCTAGACTGTGAATCGGAGCAAAGCGTACCATTTTGCCAAAGTCAATGATACAACCCTTTTTTCTTCTTTTTTTAACAAAAAATCTGTTATTTTTTTACTTTTCAAAATTTGGATGAAATGCGCGTAACACATGTACTGTCTTACATTGAGAACATCCATGTTGTTGTACAGACATTACTGTCCTCCATCTCCAGATCCTTTTCATCTTGCAAAACTGAAACTCTGTCCACATTAAACAATGGTTTCGGCTCGGCGCCTATGGCTCAACCAGCTAAGGCGCCAGCCACATACACCTAAGGTGGCGGGTTCGAATCCCTAGCCTGGACCCGCCAAACAACAATGACGGCTGCAACCAAAAAATAGCCGGGCGTTGTGGCGGGCGCCTGTGGTCCCAGCTACTTGGGAGGCGGAGGCAGGAGACTCGCTTGAGCCCAGGAGTTGGAGGTTGCTGTGAGCTGTAATGCCACAGCACTCTACCCAGGGGGACAGCTTGAGGCTCTGTCTCAAAAAAAACAAAAACAAAAAACAATGGTTTCTCATTCCCCTCCCCTGGCTCCTGGCCAGTCCCTCCTTTATGACTGTGGATGTGACCATGCTCTAGGGACCTCATAGGAGTGGAATCATACAGGATATCTCTGTTTGTGAGTGGCCTGCTCTGTGGAGCATATCCTCAGAGTTCACCTGGATGTAATACTTTGAGAGCAAGGGGAGGGAGACCATGGTTATTATCACTAGCAATTATTTAAGTTTACTGAGTGCCCATTAAGGGCCATGTATTGATGTCTGGGCTGTGTGAAGAAGCACATTCTATGACATCGTATTTGTCCTTTAAGATTTCAGCTGTGGCTGAGTGGCTAAGGTGCCAGCCACATACACCTAAGGTAGCGGGTTCGAATCTAGCCCGGGCCTGCCAAACAACAATGATGGCTGCAACCAAAAAAAAAAAAATAGCCAGGCGTTGTGGCGGGCACCTGTAGTCCCAGCTACTTGGGAGACGGAGGCAGGAGACTTTCTTGAGCCCAGGAGTTGGAGGTTGCTGTGAGCTGTGATGCCATGGGACTCTTATCCAGGGGGACAGCTTGAGGCTCTGTCTCAAAAAAAAAAGATTTCAGCTGTGTCTGAGAAGCTGGACTGTATACCCCACACATGATGTAAGCAAGATCCCAGGCAGACCATGGAGGGTCTGGAGATGGGTAGTGCATTTCTCAAAAGTAGTGAACCAATATAGGCACATTATGTTCACTGTGCAGTCCACATAGTATTCTCATTTCCTTAGTTTTTGCTGACTGTCCTTTCTCTGTCCCAGGGTCCCATTCAGCACACCACATCAACTTAGCTCTCACGTCTCCTGGCCATAGCAGCTTGACTTGTTTTGGTGACCAAGACAGTATTGAGAAGTGCTGGTTGGGTAATTTATAGAATGTCCTTCACTGGGGGTTTGGTGCATGTTTTTCTCACTAGACTGGGGTTGTTGTGGGTGTGGGAGGAAGACTACAAGGTGAAGGCCCTTCTCATCATGGTATTTCAAGGATGCAGCTGTCAGCATGAGCTACCACTTCAATGTGGACCTTCATCCCACTGCTGGAAAGTGTTCCACTGTTGTATTGATCTGTTCATCAGTTGATGGACACTAGGTTTGTCTCCACTTTTGGCTGTGATGAACATTTGTGTACAAGTTTTTGTGTGGATGTGTGTCTTCCCCTCTTTCGGGCATATGTGTAGGAAGGGGTTTGTGAGGTCAAATGTGAGCATCATGTGTAACATTTGGGGGTACGGCCAACCTTTTCCAGTGGGTTCCAGTATC